GGAAAGGTTATGGGTTCTTGTAGGCAATGCCAGTCATGGGTTGGGTTGCGAAGGGAAATACCATCTGGTTCACATTGCCCTGCAGGTGTTCCATTGCTTGGAAGAATAGAGTGCTCTCTGTTTTGGAGGATTTTAAAGCAGAGACTATACTTTGACTTGTTTCTGTTAGGGATGCTGGAGAGGAGAGTATATGAGATTCCTTGGGTTCCTTCACTTTCTGGAATTTGATGTAGTCTCTTAAGAGCAATGCAATAATTTTATGCCATGTTGTAGAAGATGGGAGATGCTTTCTCTTCCTGAATTTGGTGCCTCCTTTGTTTCTTTCCTCAGGTCATTTCATTGGTTTCCACATGGCTCCATCAGTGTGAGACTCAGGATCTCAGGAGGTTGTGCTGTGCATTTGCTGGTCTAACTGTGGCTGGGGACTGGATTAAGATTCAAATGCAAGCACTCCACTGGTGCTTTTAAACTACCTCCTTCCCTTTGTATTGTCAAAGTCCACCTGCTGTTATTTCAGAAGCACCTTTAAATTCTTGCTTGGTATTGAAATCAGGAGCGAGAGGAGCTTGCTTGGGCTGGCAGCTACCATTCCCTCTGAGGTGTGGGTTTACTTGGTGTGCGGTGGAGAGGAGGGAGAGGTGAGCAGCGCTGAAAACCCGAGGAAGCTGAACTTCCAACTTCTGAGTCAGGTGTTACCCAGGAGATTGGAGGGATGTGGGGCAGGCAGGGAGTTATGTAAAATAAGATATTATGGTTCCTAGAATATCAGCCCCATGAACAGGTAGGCATCTGTTCACATAAAAACGTTCCTTTTTTGGGTTTTTGCATCAATGCAGTTATTTATCAACTCTCTTCATTAGTAAAATTGGCTAGCTGTCATTTATTCATTAACAAAGAGTTGTTGAGTGGTTGTTATAATAATGCCTAACATATTCGATTTGCTTTTCATGTATTAACTCATTTATTCTAATTCTCACAACAACCAGGTTTGTTATTATCCTCATCTTACAGATTTATAGGAAACTGAGGCACAGGGATTATTACGGATTCCACAACTAACAAGTGGCAGCGTTGGGACGGTAGCCCAACTAATCTCTCTCTTAACCCTGCTCTTAAGGACCCTGACCAATACCAGGCACGGCATCTTGTGTGACTTGTTTCTAACAATGATAACAATATCTACAGAAAGAGACATAAATATTGATGGAAATGACCTCAGTCTAGCGCTTTAGAGCTCATATAGCATTTATAGTTCTCACAACACAGACTAAACTAGAGGACTGACAGTGTACAGTCACTAGGGAGCAAGAGAGAAGATGCCAGCCTAGGTGCCAACCTCTCTGTGTTGGATGTGGCTCACACTGGCTTGGCCCCTGCAGCGTGGAGAAGCGAAGTGAATCAGGGTATAGCAAACGCACAGCGCTCTTTCTGTTGGCCTGATGGGCTCCTCTTCCTGGGGTTCTCCTCTCTGTCACCTTGCTCCCAGTGCCGTGTTTTGCATCAGCTGAGACTTGGTGAAAGACTTCTTCGGTATTACTTTTTCCTTTCCCAGGATCCTGACCCACATCCTGAGGTGAGCTAGCCTTGCAGCACAACGCATAGTGCGGCCCACCGGGGAGCTTGCCGGAAATGCACATTCTCAGAGCCCACCCCACTCTTACTGAATCCGAATCTCTGGGGATTGGTTCTGTTTTAATGAGCTCTCCAGGTAGGGTGACCCACTGTCTTGATTTGTACCAAACTGAGGCATTTCCCAGGACACAGGACTTTTAGTATTAAAACCAAGACAGTTTTGTCACCCTAATTCCCAGGTGATTCTTTAAAAAAAATATTTTTATTGATTTTTATTTAGAGAGAGAGGAAGGCAGAGGGAGAGAGAGATAGAAACATTAATGATGATAATCATCGATCCATCAGCTGCCTCCTGCATGCCCTACACTGGAGATCTAGCCCACAATCCAGGCATGTGCTCTGACCAGGAGTCGAACTGTGATCTCCCGGTTCATAAGTTGATGCTCCACCACTGAGCCCTCTGGGCCAGACTGACCCATCACCTTTAGAGTGAAGTTTAAGACCAAGGTTATGGCATGGGTGACCTTACGTCACGAGGCTACTTGGTCCTTCAGGCATTTGAACTCAGAGGGCCACCCTACAAGGCTGTGCAGACTGTGCTAATTGTGGCTGAGAAGTCTTTGGTAGCCTAGCATACAGTTGGTCTTTTTTGCCAGTATGGGGAACAAACAAACCAGGTACTGTCCTTGGAGTTACACTTATGCTAAATTATTCTTAATGGGCCTTTAAGACAGGCATCCTGAGGATGAAGTGTCAGAACATTAGAGGGAAAGGACTTCAGGGGCCATTTAGCCCAGCTACTCAAATGGGAGCTTGGTAGAAATGCAATCTATAGGGCCCCACCCCAGACCAACTGAATCAGAGCCTGCAGTTTAACAAGATCCTCAGGTAATTTGAATGCATTTTAAAATCTGAGAAGCCCAAAGCCCTTGTTTTACAGATGAAGAAACTGAGACTCGGGAGATTAAGTGATTTGCTAAAGGTCACACATGAATTGGACTCCAGTGCTTTCCTCTATACCTGGCTGCCTTCCTCCAGGGCCATATTTTGTTTGTCTGGTTCTATCTATTGAATGAACTTGAACTTAATTAAATTTATTTAAAAACACTTTAGATCCTGTCCTTCACGAATTCAGATGGGACTCTCTTTAATTTATCTGAATTGGTGGGACTTATTTGTTTCTTAATTTCTTGTGTGTGTTTATTCGGTTCACTCAGCAGTTATACGTAGCCATCATTTTCCACATGATAAAAGTTTCTGGCCCTGGCTGGCGTGACTCAGTGGTTAGAGCATCAACCTGCACAACGGAGGGTCATGGGTTCGATTTCCGGTTAAGGGCACATACCTGGGTTGCAGGCTTGATCCCCTCTCTGGTTGGGGTGCATGCAGGTGGCAACCAATCGATGTGTCTTTCACATTGATGTTTCTCTCTCTCTTCCACTCTCTAAAACTCGATGGAAAAAATATTCTCAGGTGAGGATTAACAAATGGAACTGGATGTATATAAATGTTGCCATCTTTATGGCAAGCATATCATATAAGAAAAAAAATCAAACATTTTACCGTTTTTTGGTTGGTTTTATTAGATGGTGTTTATATCTATTATTGCACTGTACACACAAACTGGGGAGAATGTTCGTCACTTTTTGATAAATCACACCTGGGACTGTGAACTTGACCCAGGATCCATTATTTTATTTATTCATTTATTTTTAAATATTTTTATTGATTTCAGAGAGGAAGGGAGAGGGAGAGAGAGAGAGAAACATCAATGATGAGAGAGAATCATTGATTGGCTGCCTCCTGCATACCCCTGAATGGAGACCAAGCCCACAACCTAGGCATATGCCCTTGACCGGAATCGAACCTGGGACCATTCATGAGCTTTTCTGGTCCATTTTCTCCTCGTTGTAAAACTCCATCTGATGCCTGGGTTGGTGTGGGGAATCTGGGTATCTAGCTACTCCCTAGACATATTTTCACTCAGATCCTTGAACTTACAGGCCTCTCCCTTATGAGGTACTCAGTGACCTTAATTCCTGAGTTTTTTGGGAGTTGCTTTTAGTTCTTCCTCTCTCAGGCAATTCCCATATGTCCACTTCTTCCATCTTCTGAAATATTGTTAATATCCTTTGTCTGCTATCATCTTTCCTCCCAAGGTCCATACCTTCCTAGTCCTTGTTGTCATTTTGTGGGGATGGGGTTGAGAGTGTATTAAATCTGTGGTATTTAACTGGAAGTTAAATTACATTTAAATTACATTTGTAATTTTAAAAAATGTTTTATGGCCCAGCAGGTGTGGCTCAGTAGTTGAGTGTCAACCTATGAACGAGGAGGTCATGGTTCGATTCCCAGTTGGAGCATGTGCCCAGGTTGTGGGTTTGGGGGCATGATTCCCAGTAGGGGGCATGCCCAAGGCAGCTGATCAATGATTTTCTGTCATCATTGATGTTTCTCTCTCTCTCTCTCTCTCTCTCCCGCTTCCTCTCGCCTAAAACAATTAAAACGTATTTTAAAAAAATGTTTTATGTATTTCTGTTATAAGCTCTTTCTGATTCCTAAGTTTGTGCAGGGTCTTTTTTACTCCCTCCCCAGTCTTACTTGAGTTTTGACTACTGGTCTTTATGATGCACTGACTTTTTGGGAAAGATTTTTTTTTAATGAATTTGAATATGTTTTCTAATTTTTAACATCTTTTTTATTTTCACTAAATCCTAACCCTCCCCCCATAAATCTCTATTTTGTTTTTTCATCTCTTTTAAGCTTTCTGCATTAAAATTCTAGGCTGTGTGTTTTCCCTGGCTGCCTGCTTTGCTTTCTCTCTTTCAAGCATAAAGACATGTAAAACTCAAATTTTCTAGAGTAGACAACTTTTTATATCTGGTAGTAAACATTTCAATTTTTATATCCTCTTTGTCCCAAGAATTATTTGGGAGAGTGTTCTGTAGTTGCAAGTAGGTTTTCTTATGGGAACGCTAGTCTTTTGTTTTATTTTGGAGTTTTATGATACTGTTACATGGTAGTCAGTTAGTAGGACTTCTACAATTTCTACCTTTGACGAATTTGTTGTATTTTTCTTTATGGCCTGGATCTGATAAATTTTTAAAAAAATTCCATGGTTAATTTGGTATTAGTAATAAGTGGTGGTTTGTCTCATTTCTGTGTTATCTTTTGTTTGTTTTTTTAAAAAAGCAAGCAAGCATGGTTAAGAGTATTGAGAAATCTCCCTGTCTCAGTTGGTTTCCTGCCTGGAGCGGCCCGGCCCGAGGGCTAAGTCTTTATTACCAGGGGAGTAATGGGGCCAAGACCGAGATGAAATTCCATGCGCAAGCTTCTCCTTACAGGGCCACTCCTGAAATTACAGACACTGATTGTGCAACACGATAGCTCAGTAGCTTCGGGTAGAAATTCTTGTTTTATCTTGGGCCATGGATCACCATCTGATAGATTTGGATGTTTCAGGAGTTTTAGCCCCAAACAGTTTTGCTGCTTATCTAAGTAACTGGGATCTGGCCATCCTGCTGGGACCCTGCTGTTATCTCAGTGGCATTGTAAACACATTCACTTTTTCCCTGAAAGGAAAATGGATAGGGTAATAGAGAAGGTTTTCTACCCTCCATTTGCTGTTTGAAGTATAGCAAGTAGGATGATAGGTTCCTCTTTTCAGTTGGTCAATAAAAATAGAATGTTTACACTGTATAAATAAAGACATATGGGCAAATGACATCATCATTTCATAATTCCAAGCTGGGAAGACAGAGCTGGAACAGAGTATAATGACAAATTAATGTGGTTGATGGGAGAATATACAGGTGTTAGGGAAACACAGAGGAAGATACATTTAATTTGCTTCAAGAATGAGGGAATGGGGAAGATGTCAGGGAGAATATGTGGTTTAAGTTGGGTCTTGAAATAGAAATAGGTGCCAGGCTGGACAGCGATGGAAGAATAAGCATTTTTTTTTGTATATATGTGTACAAATGATGAGAAAGAATGATTGATCAGTTGCCTCTTGCATGCCCCACACTGGGGATCGAGCCCACAACCCCAGATGTGCCCCGACCTCCTGGCTTATAGGTCGATGCTCAACCGCTGAGCCAAACCGGCTGGGTTGGATAGGCATTCTAATGGAAGTAGGAGTGGATAGCATGTATGGGAAAGACAGTCGGTCTTCTCCCCAGACAATATACCATGTATGGTTTGGGTTTGGGAAGGGTGAAGTTGGAGGAGCTCGCCTAGAGTCAGGCCGTTAAGAGCCTTGATTGCCAGGTAGAGGAATTTACACTTTACTCTGTGGGCCATGAGTAGGGAAGGGGTCAGTTCCTTTTTAATTTTGGCATTTAAATTTTGGTTCTCTGTCATAAATGTTTACTACCCAAAAATATGATTCGTCTAGAAGAGATGATTGAATTTTTATTTTTCTGAAATATATAATCTATGATTCAGGTTTAGACATCTGTGCCACGTGCCACGAACATGCCACCTGCAAGGAAAGAGAAGGGAAGAAGATGTGTATTTGCAAATATGGATTTGTGGGCAATGGGCGGACTCAGTGTATTGGTAAGTTCTGAATCCTGTGTTAAGTTGAAAAGTTGAAGGAACCAAGAAATAAGATTCTCTAGTGTTAAAGAGTTGATGTCCTTGGGAGGGAAACATTGCTATTTTTTTTCTTCACTGTTTTTGGTACAAGAAGTTTTGTCAATTATAATAACTCTTTGTTTTAGTGTTCGGATATATCCTGTCTCTAGGGTTTCCAAGGAAGTAGCCCTCATGTTCGAGGTCGTTGAACTTGAATTTCTGGAGACTCCCTGGCCTACTACATATTTGAAATGTGTTTCAGGTCTGGAATTTAACTTAGTAACTTAAGTCAATATTGAGTTTTCTTAATTTCTCTGGTTGTTTTGATGTAAAACTACTTATATTAGTATCATGAGAAAAAACAAAACACAACTGCCTATTAGACTTTTTGGCTAATTGATGAAATACTGTTGCTTTGAGTCTTATGTCAAGCAGAATCCATCCTCCATAGTGTGTGTGGTTATGACCTTTTGGAGTCTTGGGTGACTTAAAAGAACATAAAGACCTTTAAGCTAGAAGCACTTGAGATTATTTTTTTGCCTCGCGTTATCTACCATGCCATGAGAGTGAGACAACGGCCAGGTTCAAGTCCAATTCAGAGAGAGGGAGCGTTTCACAGCAACTTACAATAGCGAGTGCTACTATAATCACAGATTCCTCCCGGCAATCTTGCTACATGCAGTAAAAACATTGATAGTTTTGCCTTGAGTTTGTGGACTGGCAGTGTACACAACTTTGTTGTGATATCTTTGTATTTTTGTTTTTCTCCCTAAAGTTCAAAAAAGTCATGTTCTACTTCGCAGATACGAGCTTTCACAGTCACATTGCTTGCTTGCTTATTTATTTATTTATTTATTTATGTATTTATGTATTTATTTATTTATTTTGCCTATTGTCTATGACTGCTCTCAGGCTCCAAAAGCATGGCCGAACAGTGGTAACCAGGGGCCTGTGACTGGCCCTTTACAGCAAGTTTGCCGACTCCTGGGCCTGAGGGCAGACGGGAGGGAGGGTTACTTTCATTTTGCACTGATGTAAGATTATTGAATTCAAAATGCTCAGGGCAGCTCCTGTGGACTCATCAAGCATCCCACACCCCAGCTCCGCCTCACTGGGCAACGAATACCATTCACAGGGGTCGCTGACCATTCGCAGGAGCTGCTCCTGCCACAACAGTAGCCCTGCTCCCGGGTGAGGCTAAAGCGCTCATACCTTTGTGTTTCCTGGTAACTCAGAAGTAACAGTTTTTCCAGTTAATCACTGCACGTAAAATTGTCCCCTTCTGGCTTTCAAGAAGAAAGCAAGAAGAATGGCTCAGCTGGGAACCTGGGATTCTGCTGGATATATTTCCCCAGGACTAAGACAAGATCTTTTAAAGTGTAAAAAAGAACCCCCTCCTCCCAATCTTCAAATAAGACGGATTTCAGGATGGGAATGTTGGCTTTCCCTCGTGGTTTCATACATACCCAGCGCGTGACTCCGAGGGGCCCCCGTCCTATAGTCGGAGGAGCACAGTGCCAGGGAAAGATTGATTCCCGAGTCCACAGCACAGGACAGGGGGTTGTTGAACATGGTATGGACAGATGGCTTTTCCTGGATGTTGTCTCAATGTATCAACAGATAAAAACGAGTGCCAATTTGGGGCCACTGTGGTCTGTGGGAACCACACATCTTGCCACAACACGCTGGGAGGCTTTTATTGCATCTGCCTAGAAGGATATCGAGCCACAAACAACAACAAGACATTCATTCCCAACGACGGCACCTTTTGCACAGGTACTCAGAAGGGGGCTGTGGCGATGGCAGCTGGGTGGTGGCAGGACAGCGTCCAGGATTTGGCGAAGGGAGAGGGCAGGGCCAGGACTGGTGTGATTTAAGGGAGGGGCTCTCCTGTAAGAAAATTTGTTTTTGTTTTGTTAATCCCCACCTGAGGATATTTTTTTCCATTGATTTTTAGAGAGAGTGGAAGGGAGGGAGAAATAGAGAGGGAGCCATTGATTGGTTGCTTCCCGCATGCGGCCCAAGTGGGGCCAGAGATTGAACCTGCAGCCCAGGTACGTGACCTTGACTGGGAATCAAACCTGAGACTCTTCAATATGCAGGCTGACCACTGAGCAATACCAGACAGGGCAGAGGAGTGAGATTTGGACATGGCCTGAGTATTAGTTCGTATTAGAGAATTATTGTTAATTTTATTAGATGGGATAACAGTGGCATTTAGGATAATATTCTTATTTGGGGAGACACATGCTGAAGTATCTGGGATATTATTATGAAGTGCCTCGTGTTATTAGATCTGTAAGGCACTTTAAATGTAAATAATTGTTCATTCTTATGGGTATGGATCTATAGAAGTTCAGTATAATGTTCCTTTTACTTTTTAAAATATATTTTTATTGATTTCACCGAAAAAGGGAGATGGAGAGAAAGATAGAAGCATCAATGGTAAGAGAGAATCATTGATTGGATGCCTCCTGCACACCCCACACTTGGGATCAAGACTGCAACCCAGGCATGTGCCTTGACTGGGAATTGAACCGTGACTTCTTGGTTCATAGGTTGATGCTCAACCACTGAGCCATGTCTCCGGGCAGCAATGTTCCTTTTCCTGTTCTGTGTGTTTGAACATTTTCATAATAAATAACAAGGAGGGGCCCTCAGAGATGGTGTGTCATCCGCAGGTTCCTGTAACCCCAGACAGGCTGTTTGTTCTTGGGGTGACTCTGGCATGTACCAGCTTGTGCACATTGTCCCCTAAGGTCCCAGGGGCTGGACACTGTGTTGCTGGCTCCCGGAAGGTCAGAGTGCTGCTCCTATTAGAGCAGTGGACCCACCTCCCACAGGAATAAGTGAGGAGTGTAACTTTTGGAACCTCAGTAGCTTAGGGGTCAGTTTTCTGGGCATATGTTGGTCGAATACAATGGGATGGGCAAAACCCTCCTAATTTTCAGTGGCCCCTGTATTACCTGACCTCTACTTACATACTGACATGATAGTATAGCTCTTTGGTTTTCTTAGAAAATCTTTGAGTAGTAATGAAGAGAAAAGGCAGGAAGAGACTGCTGATTCTAAGATGGGTTTGTACAGACCTAATGACTGCTTAAAAGCGTTATTATTTAAAGGCTTCCAGGGAAAAGAAAGGGAGAGGAGAACATGGCTTCTTACTCACCCAGAACCACAGGTTCTGATGCTCTGATGCATTCTCCCTCTTGACCTGTACCGAGGTAAAGACCCCTCCAAGGGTCCATTTGATCTACTCTTGACACGAATGAGCACATTCCTTCAGAAAAGACATCTGATAATATCCTGTTCTGCCACATGATTGCAGAAGCCCAGTGTTGCAGGATTAAATTAGGTGGGTTTTAAAAAATTAGGTACCATTGCCCTAGCCGGATTGGCTCCGTAGATAGAGCATTGGCCTGCAGACTGAAAGGTCCCGGGTTCGATTCTGGTGAAGGGCACATGCCCGGGTTTGGGCTTGATCCCCAGTGTGGGGTGTGCAGGAGGCAGCCGATCAGTAGTTCTCTCTCATCATTGATGTTCCTAACTCTCTCTCCCGCTCCCTTTTTCTCTGAAATCAATAAAAATATATATTTTTTAAAAATGGTCTCTGGGGCCAGATATCTGGCTTCCCGCTACTGACCTTCCTGACTTACAGTAAGTCCAATTATTCAACTTCAGGTGCTTCATCTGTAAAATGGGGGTAACCATAGCATCTGCCTCACCAGGTTAGTTTGAAGTCTAAATAAGACGGAAGTAATCAGTAATAAAGAATGAGTTTAGAACAATGCCTGGTATGTGTAAGATGACATGCAGGAATAGTTATTAACAGTCATAATGATTATTTTTTAAGATGTCTTTATTGACTTCAGAGAGAGGGAGAGGGAGAGAGAGAGAAACATCAGTGATGAGAGAGAATCATTGATCGGCTGCCTCCTACATGCTCTCTTCTGGGGGTCAAGCTCACAACCTGGGCATATGCCCTGACTGGGAATCAAACCATGACCTCCTGGTTCATGGGTCAATGCTTAACCACTGAGCTACACCAGCTGGGCATAATGATTATTGTTATGAGGTTGTTGAATGACTGTACACAAAGCAAACTGATTAATGACTGTAGTGGCTTCTATTTGGTGCTGATCAGTACTGAGGAGCTCCAAGCATTTTCCATACCATGGCTGCTTAGCCACATTTTTGCTCTGTAGTTATTTGTACTGCTTATTTTTAGAACTCGACTAAAAAAAATAAAAAAGACAACCATTGATTCCCACTATCTGTTGAGGAGTCTAGAGCAGGTGGACAGGCTGGGAAATGATTTCTGTGACAAAGCTATACATATATACTTTACAAATTTCTCCATGGGATAAAAAAAGTCTTGATAAGCTAAAATGATGGATCAAGTCTAGAAACATATGTTGTATTCTGCAGTGTTGAAATCATCTCTAAAGTTTGTCCTAGATTGAGATTGAACTTATTTTATGTTATTTATTTTTAAAAAATGTTCTTATTGATTTTAGAGAGGGAAAAGAAGGGAGAGGGAAAAAGATTGATCGAGTGCCTACAGTCAGACCCACAAACTGGGTATGTCTCCTGACTGGGAATCCAACTGGCAACCTTTCGATGTATAGGTCGATGCTCAACCACAGAGCTACACCATACTTATATATCTTTTTTACCAATAACACACTTTCTTGAGTGAGAGAGAAACATCGATCAGTTGCCTCCCGTACGCACCTCATCCGGGGACCACACCAAAACCTGGCATATGCCCTAACTGGGAATCCAACTGGCGACCTTTTGGTGCATGGATGACACTCAGCCAACTGAGGCCAGGGCTATCTTGTGGTATTTTTGCTTTGGGAATCCTTTCTTAACAATTGCCAAAAGCATCATGATTTTATTATCAACAATTATTGAACCCTAAGTTTTACTTGTTTCATTTCTCAGTACTCCTTGTTGTGTTTTATTACGTCTTTCTCTTTCTTGACATTGTTTATTCTGATGGGTTTTTTTGCTGGCTCCCGTATTTTCTCAAAATCTTTTCCAGAAAAGAAATGTCAGTGCTGATACCTGGTACCACTCATGGGCTGAAAGGTCATTTCTTTGTTTAAATACAGCATGATGTTTTGTTCCATTTTCCTTAGAACTCTGTAACATTACTCCTTTGCTCTCTAGCATTTAGTGTTTCAGACAAGAAGTCCCAGGTCAGATGGGTTCTCTGTTCCCTATATATTACTGTTCCTTTCCCTCAGGGACTTATACATTCTTCCCTTATTCTATGAAATTCAGAATTACTTTCATTTTTTTAACATTCAGTCCTGTCAGTTGTAAAAGCTATTTGGATTTGAATACACAAACTGAGGATTTTTAAAAATATTCTTATACATTTACTCCATTCTCTTCTGCAATTCCTCTTAAATGAATACTGATGGTTGCCAAGTGGAATGGGGTGGGAGGGGAGATGGTAAAAAGGAATGCAAGAATAGTATAAAAAGTGTAATCTAAAAAATTAAATGGATATTAAGTATTTTAGATTCATCTTCATGTTTTTTTTGTTCTGTACTCTGTCTCACGTAATTTATTTTTCTATGTGTTTTTGGAGAATTCCTCAAGTTGGAATTTGCACATTTATTTTTCAGCATTGACTGAGCTATTATTCAATGCCTCCATTGGTTGAGTTTTTATTTTTTGCATTCATATTTTGTTTTTAATTTTCAAAGCCTCATTGTTTTTTATTGACACAGTTTCTTCTTAATCTTGTTTGGACTTCTGCATCTCTTAATTATCTATTACTACATAATTCTAGTCTCCTGACTCCCAAATTTAGTGGCTTAAAACAGCAATTTATTATTTCTCACAATTCCATGGCTAGGTAGTTTTATCACTTGTGTAGATACATTCAGCTGGTGGCTGGCCTGGGCTGGTAGGTAAGAGAAGGCCTCTCACACATCTAGGGCCTTCGTGCTGATGGTCAGTTCTCCTCTTTGTGGCCTCTCTTCATATGGTGTCTCATCCTAGGGCCTCTCTGAGTGGGCTCCAAGTATAACAGCCTGGATTTCCTAACAGCATGGCCACTGGATTCTAAGAGAGAAAGAGAAAGCTGCCAGGTGTCTTCAGAGTTAGGTCCAGAGCAGGCACAATGTTACTTCTGCCCTGTCCTATTGGCCAAAGCAAGTCCCAAGGCCAGCCCAAGGGAGCCACATACTTTTGATGGGAGGAGTGGCATGTGAGAAAGGGAGAAGCAGAATTGTTGCCAGCCATCTTTGAAGACAATCTCCCACAAACAGTTCCCAAAAGTTTGAAGCACTAAATGTGTAGGTTGATCTGAATTGGTAGTTTTCCCCTGAAATCTATATAATTTTATTAACCAATGTCACCCCAGTAAATTCAATAATAATAATAATAATAATAATAATCTACACTAATAAAAGACAAAGATGCTATTTGACCATATCTTTGCTACGCCCACCATCCAATCAGAAGAGTATGTAAATTAACCCAACAAAGATGGCTGTTAAATTTGCATACTGCAGGTGGGGCGGGCAGTGCCAGATGCCACCTGGGGAGGCGGAGCCGGCGATCGCCCAGGCCAGAAGCCTGAGGCCTGGGCAGGAGTGGAGCCGGCGATTGCACAGGGCTGGGGGTCCCCTGCCCAGGCCTAAGTCCCCAGCCAGAGGCCTGAGGCCTAGGGAGGGGTGGAGCCGGCAATCGCCCAGGGTTGGGAGTTCCCTGCCCAGGCCTAATGCCTGGCCTAACGCCTTAGGCCTGGGCAGGGGCCTAGCTGGGGACCGGTGTGAACTACAGAGGAAACATCTTTTTGACGCTCATTGGCTAAGCTCCCTGTATCCCACTGGAAATATTCTTAGTAACCTGGGTAATAAGAATCCAAGAAGGTGATGTAGGGTTTTTCCACCTCACTCTTGGAGGGAAAAAACGAAGGTCTGCTGCTGGAGGGGCTAAGAAATATCATATCCTGCCCTAGCTGGTTTGACTCAATTGATAATGCCTTGGCCTACCTACCACAGGGTCTGGGTTTAATTCTGACCAAGGGCATGTACCTAGGTTGCAGGCTCTTCCCTGGCTGGGGCCCAGGTCAGCGCTCATGCAGGAGGCAACCAATCAAAGTGTTCCTCTCACTTTGATGTTTCTCTCTTCCACATTCTCTTCCACATTCTCTAAAAATCAGTGAAAACATATCCTCAGGTGAGGATAAAAAAATAATAATTAAATATCATATCCTATGAAAGACACATCTTGAAAATGCCTAAAGAAAGTTGTCATTTTTTCATGATGAAGGGACTGGAGTCTGTGTTGATGAAAACACCTTGGTGGCTCTGGTGACTGGCAGTGGCTGCAGCAGCGGGGTGATGGGGCTGATGCCTTCCCCTGATCAGCCTGGTCACCTCCCACAAAGGGAGGCCAGACTGCGGCTTAAGCCTGCTCCCCAAGGGGAGCAGGGAGCAAGCCTAAGCTGTCAGCTGGACATCCCCTGAGGGCTCCCAGTATGTGAGAGGGGGCAGGCTGGGCTGAGGGACCACCCCCATCCCAGTGCATGAATTTCGTGCACCAGGCCCCTAGTAATAATAATAAACATTGGTAACTTGTATGGGCTCCTTCAGCAATTGAGTGAATTGCTGGTTCCCAAACAATGATCAGTGAGTGATGAGGTAGTCATTGGTCTAAGACCAAAAAACAAACAAAGAAAAAGGAGAATATAGTGAATTTCAGTAAAATCACAAACAAATTTAAAAGAATTTTGAGATTATTTTCTTCCTTCTTTTATGAAATTATGCTGTTTATAGCTTTTTTTGGAAAAAAAATGTATTTCTGTCAAAATTACTGTATGTTTTTCTTACCCCTGTACTTGCTACTTCTCATAATCCTTAGTCAGGGGGAGTTTGCCAAGAAGCCTGGCTTACCCTTCTCAAAGCCTGTTTTAAGGCTCTGTTATCTTGGTAAAATTAGTGAGATCTTTCTGAAGTATCCCCTTACTATCTGTCTTGGTATCCTATGTTCATTTTTGAAAGCATTTTTTACTCTTGTCTAAATTGTTCTGTATTTGGAGTTCTTTAGATATTTTCAGTTTGAGATTAAGGCCATTCTTATTTTATAGTAACTGAATTTTTAAATCCTCACCTGAGGATATGTTTTTATTGATTTGAGAGAGAGGAAGGAAGAGAGAGAAAGAGAGAAACACCTATGTGAGAAACATGGATGGGTTGCCTCCCCTACTTGCCCTGACCAGGAATCAAACACACCACCTTTTGATGTACAGGAGGACGCTCCGACCAACGGAGCCACCCAGCCAGGGCTGACATTTATTCACATGCTCTTTCTTTGTTAATTTGATTTGGTGTCAGAAAATTGGTGATGGCTGTTGGTTTTTATAAAGCCCCAGAACAAGGTCACAAGTACTTCTGAGCACCTCTTAGTGAAGGATACCTGAGAAGACCCCGTACAAAGTAAAATAAAATTCATGATACTGATGCACACAAATGCGTCCATTTGTAAGCATAGACTGAGGATGTGAGAAATGGTTGTCACAATGTCATCCCCCCTCCCTCATTTTTTCTTTTTTCTGTTTTTCTCTCCCTCTTCTCTTTGGGATGGGGCTCAAGACATAGATGAGTGTGAGGTGTCCGGCCTGTGTGGGCAAGGAGGACGGTGTGTGAACACTCATGGGAGCTTCGAATGCTACTGTATGGATGGATACTTGCCAGAGAGTGGCCCCGAGCCTTTCCACCCAACCAGAGATGCCACGTCATGCACAGGTGGGTTTCTGCTGAAGAATGCAGGATCGGAAAGCGCGTTCCTGCTGGTGGCGACTTTCTGCCGCCCTCACCTCTGTCTGTGGGTCTCTGTTGGGGAGGCAGGTGGAGATTATTAGTTCCTTTGCACATTTATACAACCTATGAAATAAGCAAGTAGCAACCTAATCAAGATAGAAGGGGCTATGCTAAAAAGCTAAAATTAGGAAACTTTGGGGATTTGTAGCAGTGAGTAGATATTTTGATGGTAACCATTACGTTAGCTTGTAAAACACAGCTGATCTGGTAGGGACCAGCATCTCAAAAGTGACCCTGAAAATGATAAAGGCATATATATCATAAGGTGTTTTGCAATTTAAAATTTTCACTTCATTGGAGTAGGATTCTCTTTAGATAGTATGAGTTAGTGAAGGTTGATTGCCGAATTCGTTCAGCTTTGTGCAGGTATAGATGCTATTCCCTTTGGCGGGTCAGAAGGTTGAATAGAGATAATCATTAGAAACATGCCCAAAAGTCATGTGGAAATGAACCAGCCTATTTAACCTGAGGCTGGGGTCTGTGTGTGTAGAGAGGGGGAATGGGGTTGAGGTAGAGATTATGAATTTTGAAAATTCACATAGTAATGCATTTGACATTAATTCATTTGCAGAAATAGACTGTGGCACTCCTCCTGAGGTCCCAGATGCCTATATTATAGGAAATTATACCTCTGGGCCTGGCAGCCAGGTGCGTTATGCTTGCAAAGAAGGGTTTTTCAGTGGCCCGGAAGATATAGTTTCAAGCTGCACAGCCTTGGGCACATGGGAGTCCCCCAGATTAAGTTGCCAAGGTGAGTTCTCAAAAGGTTCAGGTTCACGGCTTACACCATGTTGAGATTTTCATAGTTCTCTCTTAAATTTCTCCTTGGGGTGGTGAATGAATTGAATAAACCCAATAATTCCTTTTTTCCCCCTAATAGGTTTTCAGTTAATTCTCTTTGATTTTCCAGGAATAGTTTCCTCTTTCATCTGCAAATAATGATAATTCCATCTTTTATTTTTCAACTTAAAGAAAACAAAACCCCACATTTCTCGTGGGTTTATCGGTCGAGGGCACATACCTCAATCCCCGGCCCAGGTTGGGTGCAAATGGGAGGCAACTAATTGATGTTGTGTCTCTCTCACATCGATGTTTCTCTCTCTCCGTCTCTCTTCCCTCCCCTCCATTATCTCTAAAAAAAGAAAATCAATGGATGAGGATTTTAAAAAATGTTAACAAGTGGTAATTTGCACTGGGGGTGGGTGGGTCCTGGGTGATTTTTATATCTTATGTACTTTCTGAATTGAAGGAATTTGTAACATATAACAAAGCCCAGTTTTCATTGAATTTATTGCATAACTAAGTAACTTCAGTGGCATGCTTGGCTGAGTCAATCCTTCTGCTACTCTGATTAGTGATTTCAGGCTCTAAACACATTTTAATAGTTAATTATCATCCTGAAGTGTAAGAAATCCTAAAAGTATATTTTAGCCCTAACATCTTTCAATAAATCAATTAAAATGCAGAACTTAGATTAAAATGTGTCATAATGCATTTCAAAGAACTCCCTAAGGACTTATACAGGAAACCCCATCTGAAACAATTTGTATTACTTTGGAAATGGGATTTCCATCTGGATTATTGGACTGAGGATACAGAAGGTTAGAGCGTGCTTGTTATATTCCTCTGAGAACTGTTATTTAGAAGATCTTCACTTCTTTCCCTCCTCTAATGACTGCTCTCTGCCTGCTGACACCCTCCTCCGCCTCCCCCCAGCCCCCGTCACCACATGGCGGAGGCTTCTCAGAGCTGTGCCTGCCCCTCTCTAAGCCCACCCCTTCTTACTTACCCTGCAGTCTGCGTGGGGCCTCCAGAATCTGGGCCATGTGCCAGCCAGCACTGTATTTTTAGCTCAGAGTTATAAAGCCAAAGGAATTGGGAATTCCGCTAAGAACACAAGCTGACTGTGAACTTGGGTGCTGCGGAGGAGCAGGTGCTTGTGAAGGGAGCAGCTGTGATTACAGATGGCAGCGTTTGTGTCCCAGAACAGGCTTCCCCGACAGAGAAGGTACAGTTGGTGGACCTGTTCATGTTCTTCCGGGTTCCTGTGTCCCCTGTGTCCAGTGCTGCCTTGGCAGGGGGGCCTGTGACATGGGTCCCCCATCCCAGAGGGCCTCAGAGCTGGAAGTGAGGAGACAGGCCCCTGTGGTCCCCTCTTCTTTTAAAAAAAAACATATTTTTATTTATTTTAGAGAGGAAGGAAGAGGGAGAGAAAGATGGAAATATCAATGATGAGAGAGAATCATCCATCGGCTGCCTCCTGATTGCCCCCTACTGGGGATTGAGCCTGCAACCCTGGCATGTGCCCTAACTGGGAATCAAACTGTGACCTCCTGGTTCATAGGTTGACACTCAACCACTGAGCCACACCGGCTGGGCTGTGGTCTCCCCTTCTGACGTAGGTAGGACTTGATGGAAATATGTGGCTGAAAGGATAGTATTTCTACCTTGCACTCCCTACATTTTGTTATCGTTACTACTTTTTTAATTTTCAGAAAAGATGCAAGTTGTGGGTGGCAGCTTAAAGAATGTAGGTTTCTAAAAAAAAAATCAACCAAGCCAGGAGCAAGGTGAGGGAATCACTTGGACCATGTTTATCATCAACAACAAAATGGAGTTTGGGTCTCATGTTATATGCGATAGATCCTGTGACTGAGAAAGTCCGGAGTCTGGGAGGAGAGAAGACAGCTATGCCACCGTGATATCCAGGTGACACCTAAATTTATGTGAGAATAAGCAAAGACTAAGACAGTTCCAAGGGGGCATGGGTGGTTCCAGGGAGGCAGGGATGTTGATGCTCTTCCCTTTGAGGTGTTTGCTTCCTGTGTAAGAGCCCACTGAGGAAGGGTGGTTTGCAGTGTGGGCACACAGGGAGAGGGGACATCTATCATCCAGATGTGCCCCCTATCTTATGGGCCACATCTTCCTTTTGAGCTGGGAATTCTTACTGAACAGTCCTTTTAAGAATCCACTTTGAGGTTTGCTCACTCCAGCCCATTCCCCAGGAATGCACCTCTTGAAGCATAAATTGAATGATCCTCTCTCCTTGCTTAAGACTCTTCTAAAAACATGGGACTGGCCACTTTATTTAGAATAAAATCCAAGTTCCTATCTATGGCCTCAGAACCCAACAGGGGTTTGGCCTTTGGTCTTTTCTGCAGTTACATCTCCTATCACCCTTTCCCAGCCAACATGCCGGACTCTGACCAGCTTCCGGGCCTTTGCACATGCTCCTCCTCTACTTGACATACCAACCTCCTTACATTTCTTAATTGTAGTAAAATACATGTAATATAAAACTTGAACCGTTTGTAAGTGTACAATTCAGTGGCATTCTATGATGTCAGTGGTTACTTCTCCACTTTCGTTTCTGATTTTATTTGGGCCCTCTCTCTTCGTTTCTTGATGAGTCTGGCTAATGGTTCAATTTTGTTTATCCATTCAAAGAACCAGTTTTTGGTTTCATTGCTTTTTTGTATTGTTTTTTTTTAGTCTCTATGTTATTTATTTCTGCTCTAATCCTTACTATCTCCTTCCTTATTCTTTTCTTATTGTTCTCTTTCTAGTATTCTAAGTTGTAGGGTTAAATAGTTTATTGTTGCTTTTTCTTGTTTTTTGAGGTATGCCTGTAGTGCTATGAACTTCCCTCTCAAGACTGCTTTTGCTGTGTTCCAGAGATTTTGGGTTGTTATGTGTTCATTTTCATTTGTTTCCAGGAAGTTTTTTATTTCTTTCTTGATCTCATTAGTAACCTATTCATTGTTCAATAAATATGCTATTTAGCCTCCAGTTTTTTAATGTTTTGGGTGTTTTTACTGTAGTTGATTTCTAATTGCATTCCACTGTGATCTGAGAAGATGCTTGATATGATTTCAATCTTCTTGAACTTGTAGAGACTTGTTTTGTGTCCTAACATGTGGTCTATCTTTGTGAATGATCCATGTGCACTTGAGAAGAATGTATATTCTGCTTTTTTGGGTGAAATGTTCTATAAATGTCAATTAAATCCTTCTGATCCAGTGTGTCCTTTAGAGTCACTGTTTCCTTGTTTGTGGATGCATCCTGAATCCTCCTCAAAAGGTGGCGCAGACAAAGACAGATACTGTGGTATTGACTCTTGCACTCCAGCCCCAATGTATCCTGTGGCAGTTCAATTCCTGTCAAGGGCACGAACCTCAGTTGAAGGCTTGATCCCTGGCCCCATTTGGGGCACAGGTTGGGGCATGTGCGGGAGGCAACCAATTGATGTGTCTCTCTCATCAGTGTTTCTCTTCTGTCTTCATCCCCCTCCTTTCCACTCTGTCTACAAGTCAATGGAAAAAATATTCTTGGGTGAGGATTAACAAAAATAAAATAAATTTCAAGATCTTTCTGAAACTTCCTCTCATAAAGTGGGAAGGTCAGCAATTCTTCAGCTTTCACTTTACCTAATATACGGGTTTTTGATTCAAATAGTCTATTTACATGTGGAATATTAAAATGAAGAATTTTAATGATTTTTTTTTTTAAAAAGAAGGTTCATATGCAGCTCACAGCATCAAACCCCATTGTCACTTCTACAGAAGCAAGATCCTTACAAGAGATGTGCTCATAAACTCTTTTTTTCTCTTTCTAGCACCCATGCTTTTACCTATGATAACCTCCTCTGCAGTTTCTGAAGGGTTTAAATTCTAGCTATTTCCATACTAGATACTATTTGTTGACAATACGTAACATTTATTGTCAACAAATAGTATCTAGTATGGAAATAGCTTTTGTTTTTCTCCAAATGAGCTTTCTCTATCTGAAGGAAATGTATTGTTAGTCAAGGCTAAGTTCGTGGAAGACTTTAGAATACAGAGTACATCAAAAATATTTTTTTCTTTCACAGCCTAAGGCAAATGGGCTTTTTTGGTGCTAATGAGCTCATTAGCTTAGTGTCAGCAGTTAATAAGCTACTCGGGAGGATCTGCTTTGTGGCATACTGAAACCCTCCCATTTTCCTTTGATGGTTATGATAACATTTGCTAAGTTCAAGTTGCCACAGATCGAGACGTTAGATGTCAGCCCCCAACATCGATGATATATGTAATTTAGTGCCCAAGTGATCCCAGAATGAGGGTCAAACTATATTTGGCCAAATTTGGAACATGCCATAAAATGCATGAAACTTTGTCATAAAGTTACACTTTGACCCATTCTTTAGCATGTTTTTTACATATAAATATCACAGAGATTAATGTTCATAATATTAATTACTCACAAGAATACAGCAGATATTGAGAAATATTGGATATAGACACCGCCCACAAAGAGCTTACCATTAAGAGGAGAAGAGACAATTTTTACAAATGAAATAAACGAAGAAAGTGTAAGGTATAAGTGCTGAATTATCGGATCCAGGGGGTGAATATAGATCCTCGTGTAATTGGCCTGTCACCCTTACAACCTACCACATTATGCTAATTTCCGGGTGTTACATAAAGCTTCTGATTTGAGAAGGTTAGAGACTTCCTTCTATTATTGCTGGGCAAAGAAGACAACTGACTTTAATGGGATTTTCTTCAGTTTTCATCCTTGTTTCTGTTCCTTTGCCAGAGCTTGTCATCCAGTAGTTTATTTGTCAGGGATGGCTGTGTGTGTTTTTCAGTCAAGGTCAGTATGTGGAGTAGGTCTGTCGTTCATTTCCCCAGCAGCTGGCGAAATGCCTGCCTCAATTTATAGACCTTGTCGGTCTCTTTTTCCTTTCCTTTCTCAGCTCGGTCTTTATTGGTCTCTAAAGCAGTCTTGGTTAAAGCCTTTTATTACTCTGTGTGCTCTGTCATCAGCCACCTTATTGCGCTGACTGTCTGATAAGCAGCAGGCACTGTGGGTGATGTTGGTGATACAGTGAGTCATTGATTAGATGCCAGATTTCCTTCTGGAATATCTTCTCGGGTAGAGCAGTAAAGCTAGCCACGTGGGTAAACATTTTCACCTTCGAGATATGAAATAAAGTTACAATATAAGTGTGATCCTTGAAACCGGCCCAGCACATCCCCTCTTCCCCACCCCAGGGAGACCTGTTTTGAAGTCAGTCATTTGAATAAAATCACAGATAATAGGATAGTAAGATATATTCCCAGCCATGTTCATAATTAGCGGACTGTATTCCTGATGCAGTTCCAAGCGTTACTTAATAATATAATTAGCCAGACAAACGTGTGCTTTAATGAACATATATGCAGCACCGGATTTGTGCTGCTTATTATTTTCTTTCCTTTGGATAGAAACTGTTTTTTATTATTATTTTATTGTTATTCTTTTTTGTTAATCCTCATCCGAGGATATTTTTTCCATTGATTTTACAGAGAGTGGAAAGGGGGTGAGGGGAGAGAGAAGAGTTAATCTCATCCGACACATTGATTGGTTGCCTTCTGCACATGACTGGGGCCAAGGATTGAACCTGCAACCCAGGTACATGCCCTTAACTGGGAATCGAACCTGTGACCCTTCGGTGCATAGGCTGGTGCTCTAATCACTGAACCATAAACTGCAGGGCTCAAAACTCTATTTAAGTGATGTATTTCCTTGTGAGGGTGAGAGACCTGGGGTTTTCATGTAGAACTATATTTTCATTACCTATTGCAGTCTCATTGGATTGATTTTTGATTATTTCTTAATAGGAGCCACCTGCTTTCTCATATCTTTTGTTCTGAGTAGAAGTGGCAGTGTCTGCCATCTCTCTTAAGCGGGGTGGGGAGTTTGACAATATCTGTGGCAGGGTTATGTTCCAGGCCAAACACAGGCCACACCCCATACTATGGGGTTAAACATCAGTACCAAGAAAGCTTCAGGGGGTCACACAACTACAGAGGAAATCTATTTCCAGCAGCTCTTTTGCTCTGGGAGAATTCTTAGAGACAAGATTGGGCAGAGGGAGCTGTCACAGATTGATTCAAATATTCCTTCATGCAACCTTTTTTCCCCGAGTTACCAGCTCATCTGCAAGATTAGTCCCAGTCAGGGCCTAGAGTGGGCCCCCTCACTGTGAGGCTGCCCAGATTGAATGGATCTGGACTTTGGGGTCACACAAACCTTGCTTTGGACATGGCTCTATATTTATTAGGGGTGTGGCTTTTGACTGTGACTTAAGCTGTTAGGTTCTCTATTTTCATATCTATAAACTACATGAAAAAAATAAAAACCACATCTACCTTGCAGGGTTTTCTGTGAGAAATAAGTAGGATAGTATGTATCTAATAAACTACCCGAGTTCAGTAGGATTTCAATGGATGCTATTTATTTGTTTGTTTTTGTTACTTCCCACCCAAGGATATATTTTTCTATTGATTTTTAGAGGGAGTGGAAGGGAAGGGGAGAGATATATAGAGAGAAACATTGATATGAAAGAGACACATTGATTGGTTGCCTCCTGCATGTGCCCTGACCAGGGCCAGGGATTGAGCCTGCAACCTAGTTCATGCCCTTGACTGAAATCGAACCAGGGACCCTTCAGTCCATGGGCTGGCGCTCTAGCACTGAACCAAAATCATAGATTGGCCGCCTCCTACAAGTCCCCCACTGGGGATCGAGCCCACAACCCGGCATTGAACCTGGGACCTTTCAGTTCGCAGGCCGACGCTATCCACTAAGCCAAACTGGCTAGGGCTTACCTTCTGCACTCTAACCCCTTTGGTATCTGTGCTTCTCCCCTAATCCAACTATCTGTCACTGAGTTCCCTCCCAAACATCTCCAATGTGCTGTTTAGAATTACAGCTTCAAGGCCAATAAACCTGCATAAACCTATACCCTCAATTGTCTTCACTGATGCTCCACCTATTTCCTGGTGTAACTGAACCCTGGCTTAAACTAGAAGATGTTTTAGATGTCAACAGTGACTGGGCAGTCTTATGAAACATTAACCACCTGTTCTGTTGGTTGCTCATTTACACACAAATAAACTCATGTCTTGGAATGTTTTGGGCCAATAAGTATCTAAAGGCTTGATGCTGGGAAAACATGATGAGGGCCAGGAGGTCTTGTGTTTGGTAAACATCTACGAAAAGGACACAAATTTCTGTGAGCAGACATGGGACTTGAGAGGTAGATAGGGTTGGAGGATCTGTGAAATGACCACCTCATTCTGGTGCCATAACTGCTGATGATTTGATTTGAATCTGCACTGACCAGAGACTAACTCTTTTTAAAAAAACCTCAGAGCCAGGTGATTGGACAGGTGGGTTGAGCTGTTGTATTAAGGGTTTTGAGATAACTCCAATGACAAAAGGTGAGAGAGGCCTCCCTCAAGGAAATAACTCTGGGGTTTTGCATCCATATGAGATGGAGAAGAGTGCAATTCCATTAAATCCACCAATTCTGTGTCAGAAGCTCATTTGAGAGTAGCCACCTATTTCTAAGGCTAAGAATATTTGATGAGGAGTTGGAAACAGATCATATATTTTTCTCTATTTTGAATGCTTTATCTCAAAGAATGGACTGATGTTTTAAAAACCTAGATATTAGGAGTGCTTAATTTTCTTGTCTTTCTACAGATGGGGAGAAAACTAAAAATCAGAATGAATGCCAAATGTCATATTTTTCTTTCTTTCTGTATTTAGGTATAGCTAGGACTATTGGTTACCTTTGTAATTATTATGACCATTTTATTTTGTATTTTATGTTTATTATGTTTTCTTGAATAAAAGTGTATCTATGAGCTCCTCACTACAACATGAGAAATGTAGCATGTTTTATTTCTTCCCTTCCCTTCCCTGCTCAGATTTTGTTCAAATAATTTGGAATTTCATTTTCAAATTATTAATTTTTTTGTTAGCTTTGAATTTTTTTTCAGAAAAGATACACATGAATTTTTTTTTCTAATTGTAGATTATCTAAACATGACTTTCTTTTACTCTTAGGTTAAGTAGCATTTGGCTGGGTCTAAAATGGTAATGTTCTTTTCCTATAAATATTTCCCCTATTAATTTGCTTTAAAAAGTTCAGAGATTTTACCTGAAAAAGAACAAATACCAGATATCAAGATGTATTACAAAGCCGCTATTCTCAAAACTGCCTGGTACTGGCACAAGAATAGGCATATAGATCAATGGAATAGAATAGAGAGCCCAGAAATAGGCCCGAACCAATATGCTCAATTAATATTTGACAAAGGAGGCAAGAACATACAATGGAGCCAAGAGAGTCTCTTCAATAAATGGTGCTGGGAAAATTGGAAAGATATATGCAAGAAAATGAAACTAGACCACCAACTTACACCATACATAAAAATAAACTCAAAATGGATAAAGGACTTAAACATTAGATGGGAAACCATAACAATCTTAGAATAATCCATAGGTAGCAAAATAGCAGACACATGTCATAGCAATATCTTTAGCAGTACAGCTCCTAGGACAATGGAAACTAAAGAGAAAATAAACAATGAGACTACATCAAAATAACAAGCTTCTGCACAGCAAAAGAAACCATCAACAAAACAACAAGAAAGCCACTGCATAGGAGAACATTTTTGCCAATGTTATCTCAGATAAGGGTTTAATCTCCAAAATTTACAGGGAACTCACATAGCTTAACAAAAGGAAGATAAACACACCAATCAAAAAATAGG